GTGTAAATGAAGTAAAAAGTTGTGTGATTGACTTGATATGATTATGAGCATTAGTTTGTGCTCGAAACGTCATCAGTAAATATTACTGTACAACACTGTGTGATTTGTCAAAATAAAATCTTATCCATAATGGAGTTATGCTGTACCACAGTGCTCAAGTTTTATACTTATATCAATAATACATATGGTTTACTTGTTTTTTTATTTTGACTTCAGGTTTTGCACACAGTGCAATTATTCACCAATCTTATTAATCCAGTCGTTGAAGCCTTGAAGTATGTGAGCAGTTTAGGCTATGATATGCTGACTTGTAAGTTGTTCATGAGAAAATTTAGAATAAGGATATTCTTATAGTTTTTTGCCTTATAACTATTGGTGATTTAATTATGTTATTTTTTTCTTTCTGTTCTTCCTATTTGATTTAAATAATGTTATTTAATATATTATTTATTTTGAACAACTTCTGATGTTTGAATAAGATGGGTAGGAGCAATAAGGTAGTTGGATATTCTGAAGTGGGTTGGATTGCACTTAGTGGGAAGGAGGCTAGTTGAGGTGGAAGGGAAGGGAAGAGATTAAGGGTTATGCCATATTAGGTAGGATGATTGACAGTTAGTTGAATGATAGAAACTAGTAGTAATACCGGTAGAATGGTTGATTGGTGATAAAGTGAGAATTTGGTTTTTACTAAAATTTTTCCACTAAATGATTTACTTTTTGTAATTCTCTCAATCTGTTTCTCTGTTTATCAGAAGAGCTCTGTTTGCTTTCACTATATATTATTAGGTTAACTTGTTTTGTGACTAGATTAATGCTTTCTCTAGTTAATTCTTAATCGTTGCTTGTCTTTTATCTCCCACCTGTTTCTTTGCTTTTCCTCGTTTCCCCCTTTTTCTCCTTGTTTCCATCGTGTTTTTTTCATGCTGGTGCATCTAATGGTACACTAAGAGTGTGTAATTGGTTTGTTTTGATAAGTGTGTCTGAAAGATCTTTGCGTATACTATTTTGCTATCTTTCCCCCCAGTCAATCAAACACAGTTTCGGAGATGTGAATTTTTTGCTTATACACTCGATTTGCAGTCATTCATGGTTCTTGAGTTCGAGTCTCGGTCAACCCGATCTAACCCGGACAACTAGCCAGTATGATCAGCAATAACACAAGAAGTGTGACTGTTAGTATATCCCGGTACATGAAAAATATGTACCGGCTAAATCTGTTCTAACTGAAATCAGTTATAACCTTCACGTGATACACCAGTGCAATGGTTTATGGGGATTGTCAGCGGACAACCGGTAATCAGTTGCTTCCTTTAAATTCTATTTCATCTGTTCTGTCGTTATCAGTGGGGGTGATATGGCAAGGAACTCAAATAAAGGGCATACTTTTTCATCCGATCTACGTGTGTATTTTGTCAGTTCAAAACTTGCGTCCGGGACAACACTGCTAGCTGCCAGTCCGACACAAAATATCATGTGATTCTTTGGTCATCGTTGAAGCAGCCGTACTAGGTGCCAACATGTCAACAGATACTGAACATTTCACTTCATTGAAAATGAATATATATATATATATATATATTCAATTATTTCTTTCGCAAAATGCTTTTTACTAACTTTTTAATATTTCTCTTTGTGAACTTTACAGTTTGTATTATTGAAGCACTTGTTTCGGACCAGTCTAAACTGGAGGATTTACAGTTTAGCCAAGAACTGCAAGGTATGCTTATTATTAATGTTACCATTGTTATTGCCACTCTATATCTTTATCCGTTTTTCTTCTTTACACCTTGTTTTTAGCATTGTCTCTTGAAGATTTCTTAAAAATAATTTTGATAGATTTATGCTGATAACATTATTTTATCTGTTTACTAATAGAACCACTGGATAGTTGAGGTTTATTTTCAATCATTATGTTTACATATATCTATATATATATGTTTTGCCTAGAGATTTTTATTCGTCGTTGTAACTTTGTTTGGTACCTTAGCGTAAATTACATGAATAGGACACAATCTATTTGCAGTTTTTCACATACTGTTGACTTAAAGGAATTCTGTCTCAACACAAATGAATAATGGGAAAACAGCTCCATACAACACCCCACCCAACATATTACGAGGATCAAGGTAGTTCTGGTGACTGAATAATTCAATTATATGCAACTTCCACCGTCTTTCTAGGCAACATCTTTGGCAATTACTCCACATCTGGAGTCAATTCATTCAGCTTACAGAACTCAACAGTCTTAGAAACATCTAGCTGAACTACAAATCTTGTCCACCGTATCACGGATCAGGATAATGCTTTACTGAATTAATGTTATCCCCATTCCCAGCGTCAAATCATGAATATAAAAAACATTATTTATAATTTTATAAGTTTGTTAGACACCTGATACTCTATGAGATGAGAAATTTCATTTGATAAGTGAAATTGGTGTCAGCTGCCCTATATGTCACTAAATAGTTTAAAAAAGTTATATTATAATAGAAACTCACAACTCTGTCTATTTTAATGTGTTCGTCTACTTATTTGTATAGGTATGCATCCATCTTATTTAACTAGATAATAAAACTTTTCTTATGAATGCTTTTTTTCTTTCTAAAGATCATTGATTAGTTCTACATTTAATTCATGAAAAGGGCTGTGACAGTTTCTTAATTGAACCATTGAGCTCATAAACGAAAGAGAAAAACACATCAACAATACTAAAAACGAAATATTGACATGAACTACACATCTCCTATCATTTCAATAGGTACACTTTCTAAATGGAATAAAATTACACTTGCATATTTCTGTTAGGCACACACACACACATACTCATCTATTGACCTAAGTACAAAGTACTGATTAATTCTGTTGATTGTATTGTAAATAATAATATTTTGTTTGAAACTTCTCGGCAGAAGTTGAACTGAAAGGTAATAAGTAATGTACACAAGGACAATTACACAATTTGTGGGTGAGCCATAATGAACTTTTGGAGGAGGAGCTCAGCATCGATTTTACTATTATTATACAAGATAAAAGTATTGTCCATATATCTACAGTAGAAAGAAAGTTCGTTGATTACGTTTTTGGGTAGACGATTATCTAATTTGGCCAAAAACATGTCGGCTAAGGAAGGACCTAAAGCGGAGCCCATTGCTATGCCCTCCACTTGACGGTACAATTCACTGTTAAACTGAAACTGCACATTCATCGTACAACGGAGTAGCACTTCCCGTAGTGTTCGAGGTGGTGTACTTACGTCCATACCATTTTCTATAAGAGATTCACAGATGAAGTCAGTGGTCTCTAATAAAGGGACATTGGTGAACACAGGGAGGCGACATCCATAGAGATCATTGTTTCATAATTGATCTTCTTATCTCTGACTTTGTCTACAATCTCAAACGTGTCCTTCAAACTATACTTAGCCACTTTTAGCTGCAGTGACTTAAGTATGTCTGCCAGCCATCTTGCTATTCCATGATACGCTGAGTAAAACATATCTAATATTGGTCTCATGGGCACGTTGAGTTTATGAATTTTAGGTAGCCCATACATTCTATGTATATTTGTTCCCAAAGGCAATTGTATAGTATTTTGTTGTTCGTTTAGATAGAAAATAGTCTGCCTAATTGATCGTTTAGTTCAATTTGTGTACCCTTGGATATTTTCTGTTTGATTATTATATTTTCATATTTCACAGGCATTTTTCTTTTTATAAAGAAATCCTTTTTTGTCAACTGGTTATCATCATAGCTCATTGGACTTGTGGTTTTTCTCTCTTTCTTTTTTCAACTTTCATTCAATGTAAAATAGAAATCTACGTTTATTATACCATACCAACAAATTAATAGTAGGACTTATTATCCTATTTAAAAGAAAAGACTGATCAATTATTTAGGGTGTATTGATTATCAAAAAAAGAAAAGGAACATTTTCGTGTTTTATAATCAAAAATGTTTCCAGAGATGACTTCAATAGATTAAAACACTTTTTTCCTGCCTCTTCATTTTCAGCATTGTCCTCATTTACTGGATTATTATGTAGAAAATATCAATTTGACCTAGCTGGTTTATTGCAATATGTTTTAAATCAATTAAAAGTTGGTAAAAGGTTAGTTAGATGAAATGGTCCTTAATGATCTCATGGTGTGCATATTGTTTTTTTGTTCCCTATCAAGATACGTAAGTTAAATAGAGCTATTCAATACCATTCATAAATTTCTGGAAACTCTACTTGAACAACAACGATTAAATATTGTATAATGTTATGCGATCTCTTCTTACTTCCCATTATCAATGTTTGTGTCTTGTATTCCTAGACTATGACAGTTAGCAAAATCATCGATGGTAGTAGACAGCCTTGTCTCACTCCTTCGCTCACTTCATACTCTTTGATAAGCTTTCCGTTGGCGCAACATTAGAAAGCTATTGAATGAGGTTTATACATCACCGAATTATTGGAGACCTTCGCTACCGTAGTCCTTTCCTAACTCGGTCATGTTGGTGTGCAGAGTGAAACTATATGCGAGACCCTCCACTGGAGCCCGTATAGGAAGGGATGAGTTGAATGTCTGAGGGTGACATAGATTATGTGAGTAGGAAATGAAAACTTGTTCGTAGTCATAAATTCACCTGAAAGTGATGTCAGAGAATCGAGTGGAATGGTGGTCATGTACAGCCGAAGTACTATGTTCCACTGGAGATACAAGGAAATAGTAAAAGAATTTTTGTATTCTCTTATTTTCTCCTTTTTCACTATGTATCCTTCTTTGCCTTTTTTCGTACTGAAAAACAGTTATGATTTGGTAATATTGCGTGAAATTATACATCGTATGTCGGGAATCGATATCTCTGAAGAAATGACAGATGAACAGTTAGAGTCAATGTCTGGTGGAGAGTTATTATTACAAGAAGGTGGTTATTATGCACAAATACGTAATACACGTCGTAATGCTGCACGTCTTAAAGAAGCTTTAATTGAACATAATCTAATTATGCCCTTCATATTTTTGATGGCTCAACAGCGTGAGGCTATTATATTCTTAGATGATCCTGAACGTCACTGTAAGCTAGCTGGTCGTTTATATGATCAGGTGGGTTGCCTTTTAAAGAAAATTTCCATGTAAAATTTCAAAATAAATGTTGTATGCTCGCCATCCGAGTACACAGTCGACGTTTGATCCCCGGATGACGCACTTCTAAATCTCGCCTAGTTTATTATCTGTTTGTAAGACTGGGAAAGAGGGATAGTTGGGATTGCCGCTAGCAACCCTATCCGGCAAAGACAACACGACTACTGTAACTTCAAAGCAAGGAACAAAGGAATAGAAAGAGAAATCTGATCTAGTTATATTATATCCTTCAAGAGGTGTGATATTCCTTGTCCAGTAGGATGATTAACATGTTCTATGGAATGTGAGTTTTATGCACGTCTTGAAAGTAAGTTAATCTGCTTGGTAATAGGTATTCTCGACATTCAGCTACTTGAACATACATTTTAACAGTTCTCTGCCATTTAGTATAGAGTAGTATTGTTTACTGTCATATAACACATACTACATATAATCCACCAATTGTGATATCACTAAATATACTTATGTATGTTTTGCGAACAGGTAAGTTTATGTCTGAATAATTTCACCTTGTGCCAGATACACACAGCTCCTAATGTTTATTTGGTATACACAAATTCATTGGAGCCTACATTGCTAACTAATGAATGAATAAAGTTGTGCTTACTGAAATCCGGTCTAAAAAATCATGTTTACAAACACCATTCTCTTCAGCGACTTGATGGAATGTTCATTCCCTGCATTAGTGAAACTAACCATCTGGGCTTTTTATGTAAATAGTTTGACAGTTTGAATCCTTGTCAAATCATTTCAGTTTTTACAACGTCAGGGTATCATAAGCTTTCACCTATTATGTATTACTTACAGTTGTTTAGCTGCATAGTAGAATTGTTGAAAAGTGTATCAGTTAATACGTGTAGTTACAGAATAGTTAATTACTTCGTTTGATTTCAACGAGTATAATAAGTAATTCCTTGTATTCAAACTAAATTTCCTCATTCATATTCGTAAATGTCAGTATTCCGGAAGTGTCTAGATACCTTCGTTAACATTTCAACAGATGTGTGTAGTTTGTGATCCCTTTTGTGAATAAGCTATGCACATTTTATATCAGGGTTACTTATTTAACTATGTTTCACGGTATATTTCAATTCACTAATTCGTTTTATCAAAATTAATTTTATTTTGAAGTGTCAAGGCACATTAGTTCAATTCATTACATTTTTAAATCTTCAACTAAGCCGTGAAGAGATGCAAACACAGTGTTTAAGCATTGACAGAATGATGGGTGAATTTCATGTGACAGCTGACACAACCTTCTGTTTTCATCGTAATTTATTTGAACAAAAAGTGGCTGTAAGTTTTTGTTAGCGGTTTAATTGTCTTTCTATAATTAATTTTTTTTGGTTAAATGTGTCATCATAAGAAAATATGCCTAATTAGTAGTAGCCTATTATCTTCTAGCTAATAAATGGGAAAAGTTTCTTGCATCTAGAATGTGCAGCTTTTATAGCTCTGATAAAATACTAGTATATTCAAAAAACCTTAAATAAAAGTCTAGCTATATGTGGCATGTAATTTATCCTTGCTAAATGTGAATTGATATCAGAGGACTAGTTGAATGGACTCCTAATTGAAGTATGGGTAGTGAGGTGTTTGAATGCATTGACTACTTCACTTGGTTTGTGGCAAAATCTCAGTCTCTGTGACGATAAACGGTTTGCACAAAAGTTCATTCCGTTCGTGATGCATTGTTACTGAAGATTGAGAATTTTAAAGGATTAGAATATTTGAAGATTTTTATCTGTGTTAGGCGATGCAACATGATAAGTAATACGGATGTTAGGTGTCGTTTTAGATAATGAGAGTAATTCGATCGTTAATGTTATGGAATCACATTGGTTGAGGTAGTTGGCTAAGACGTGTTTTACGCATAGCGAGATGACTTTCTCTATGAACACTGCTAGTTAAATTAGGATTCAACTAGAAACGCAATGGTAGTCAGATCTTACTATAGTACCCATCTATGAGGTCGTTGATTTCTGGAATAAGTTATATAGTGGAACGAAGTTTATCCTTCCTCAGTCCTCGGAATGCTAAATATGAGTGGTTCTAGAATCATTTACAGTTTTTGGTTTTGGTTTTCTGTAGTGTGGCAGTTTGAACTGATGCACTTTTGTGCAAAGTTCCACTTGGGTTCGGTTGAGTTGTTAGCCAAATAAAAAACGCATTCTGCTTTCATAATCATCTTCCATATTGTAACAAATTTTAAATTTCATCATCAGTCAGTCTTAACCGCTAACTAGAAGGTTTCAATTATTAATAACCAATGTACGGCTGATGATAATCTCTGTTTTGCAAGTGATTAGTCTATTCACCTTCCTTTTTGTATTTTTTTTAGCGTTTATTTGAAAGTAAAGAATTAGCTGAAAGCTTGAAATCTGGTGAAAAATCTAAATCATTTAGTAAGGTAAGTGTAGTTTATCGTTGTAATTATTATTTACTTGCTTATTCTCGCTTAAATCAGGCGTGTTAGTCCTTTATTACGAATCAGTCAGTCAGCTGTTGTCCACACCTTACATTACATATACGTCTACATAGTTTCATTCCTTTGATTAAAAAGCGCGTTGTTGTATTTTCTGTTCCCTTTTAATTGTATCCGTAACTTAAAATCTTGTTGTTTGCATACATCTCGCTTTTGAATGATCCATGTTTAAGTTTGTAGGAAAAATAAGAAATGTAAGCGAGAGGAGTTTTTAAGCGTTGGTTTGCTGGTATTTGATTGGTTTCAGTATTTCATCACGAACTGAGATCGGTTAGAGAACCATTGGAAAACTTAAGAGTCCTATTTCGGGACTCTTCATCAGTAACTACCCGCCGCCAAGGTTCTAACCCAGGACCTGGTTACAAGGTAAGCTCGTGGACTGTTAAGCTACTGGGACCCGATCCACTGGTTCATGAATTTCAACTTCTGCTAATTGGCGATATAGCCCGACTACTAGCGAATGTCATCGGGGAGCATTTATCCTCACAGTCAACATGCTGTACCCCACTGGTCAAGAGAAGTCTGTTATTTTTTCTTTGTCACCGATAGTTTTCAACTTTAATCACCCATTTTAATTAATTGAAAATGTGTTAAGAGTGTGGCTTCACTGTCTTATGCATCCCACTACTAACTAGTCTTTCCTGGATCCGAATACTGCCCCACCAACTCCATCCGAAGGGAATTGGTGAGGTAATATCATCAGCCTTCAAACGCGATATGTGTGTAGCATATTCACTTGTTCACTGGAAGAAATTGTACACGATTACTTGGTTGTGTGTGCTCGAATAGCGTCAAATGTTGAAAATGTTCTAATAATCTAGTCATATGTGGAAAGTGCTTCAACTTTCTCATTCAACCTAAGCAATCTGTTGCGTTTTCTTAATTCTTTTACCCTACTTCATTGTAGTACAAGGGGATGCTATAATCGTTTTATTCTGTTCAGATTTCTGGTAACTTACCAAATCGTCTGAAAGGAAAATCACTTACATAGATCTTGTTAACTCAATCATTAATTGTAGAGTAGCTGTTATCAATTACCTAGAATTAAAGTGCTGAGCATGTACCAACTGCTAATGAACAGGTTGTATAACTTTTCAATTGTTTATTTAATCACCTTTACTTTCTAATTTCTGATTGAACACTAGTCAATAACTAGTTTAATGTGTATAGTCCTTTCTTGGGTGGAGACTAAATTCTATCACTATGTAATTTTCGGTGACTGAAGTTTAATAAATACCCAAGCGACTGATTTTGGTCTACACTACTATTCCACCTAAACGTCGGGGTAGAGGTTTACTTTCATACTTTCTAGAGCGTCATTTAGGAAAAAACTCGGTTAATTTTTCATATTTGTTATTCCTCGTTGTCATGTTGTGGTGGTGATACAGACAATGTGGGCTAATGGAATATTATTCTCACATATTCCCACAGTTCAATACGGCAATAGCAACAGAATACTATGTATATTTGAACATTCTATTCCCTGTCGTTTAATGTAAACCAAAATCACACGTTCAGTGATTGGTTAACGAGTATAAACTGTGGAGATATATAATAATGAAAAATATACCTTGGCTTCCGTGTCTTGCCTTCTGCTGTTACAATGTTAGGACCGAAATGATGAAACCTTGTTTCGGTATATGAGCACCTTAAACAGATATCTTGATATCACCAGGTTCAATAACTCGTTATATGGTGGCTATCTACAGAGGATCAAGAATGCGCATTTTGTCTTAATTAGGGTCTTTCCAGATGGATGTTCCATACGCGTCGTACATAGGGAGGTTCTCACGTGGATAAACTTGTGACATTTGAAACGACTGGTACCGATTGACTAGTCTCAAACAAGACGGAATTCCCCTCCTGGATTCTTATGTTAGCTACCATCAAATAGCTAACTTCGGATTGATTTATCTGTTCAAGGAAAAAAATAACGTTATCATACAGTCATTGTGTCGACAATTGGTAGTTGGTGACTTCTTTACTTCTGCCAAAGGATGATAATACCGTAGTCAGTATTCAATGTTACTGGTGTATGTCTGTACTCAGACTCGGCTGGGTAAACCCAATTCATCCATACTTCTCATTAGAACTTTGGGAAGCCTTCAACCTCTATGTGGTGAATGAGTAGACGTCGTAGATCATTTGTTGGTAATCAGCATGACTCAGTATTAAGCACAGATGTGCATGATACTGTTAAGGAAAATAACAATAGCAAAACGAACGAATATGTAAGTACGGCTCTCGTCGAAAATTGAAAATAACCTTCTTGAATAAATCAGGACTTTTTAGTATTGATTAATTTTCTTTCAAAGTAATCCTGTAATGTTCTGAAACGGGAGCATTTTTTTCTTCTTGAAAACTTGCTGAATGCATGCATGAAATCTATAATAAAAATAAAGGTAGTAATAAAATGGAGTCGGTAATTAACAGCGACCTACATAACTTTATTGCTGGATACTTTTGTACTGGTGTAGACTATTTGTTTTTTTCTTATGAAGAGTCTTCTGACTTTTGGAACTTTTCGTTCTTCACACACGTATCGTTTTCTTTTTAATTCACTTATGTCTCATTGATGTATACGTGTTCGACTTTCAACCACTGTTTCAAGGGTTCGAACCCTACTCCACCTAATATACCATTAGTATTGAATGCCAGATAGCAAGCATCATTAATCTTCACACAATAACTGTGGCTCATTGGCAGTTGTATAGAATTGAAGCGGGTAGTTGAGTATTTTTGAATTATTTTGTTAGTGTAATCCAGTCAATTTTGCAAATTATATATATAGTATTACCCACTCAGGATGAAGTAGGTGGGTTGTGATGGAAACCCGGTACAACTGATTAGCTGGAAGGCGAATTTTAAGTTAGTCACATCTCCATTAATGACCATATGTCATGTTAAGCGGTTGTGTATAGGGAATTCGATTATTTTTAAAAACAATTTTTCACTTTCTCTGAATAGTTGACCACCATGATATATTTTTTTTCTGTATGAAAACAAATACAAAAGATATTGGTAAACTTGCGTCATCTTTAGGCCTAGATGTGTGATATCCAGATAGCTATTGACAAAAGACTATGTGTACTTCGTAGCAGTCCACTCTGTCCTCCTCAATGTCTGGGAAGATGGAAAATATCAAGAGACTAGCCGTCTATGACGATTAGTGTGTCCTCATTGTACCTGAGGTGTTTCTGTATAGGCCTTTCAGGGTGTTCACAAACTTCTCAGGTGCACCTCTCTCTAACAGACAGTTCATGAACACAGTTCTATCCAACGGATCGAAGACTTCCCTAATATCAAGAAACACAACGACTGTTGGTCTGGAATACGTGTGGCGGTGTTCCGACAACTAATGAAGGGTAAACATTTGATCAATGCATCCACGGCCTCAAAGAAACCAAGCCTGCTCTTCACGAACAAATCCCTCACGTGTTTTGCACAGCCTGCGAAGCAAGACAGCAGCCAATATATCAGACGCAACTGGTAGCAGATTCATACCCTTATGGTTGTCACCTGAGTTACGTCGACCCATTTTAAAGATGGGGACGATAATGGCTTCGTTTCACATTGATGGTACACTCTCAGTATTCCAGTTAAAGTCAATACAAGAGTCTCGCCACCATCTTTAAAAAGAGCCGGGGGTAGATTGTTTGGGCTGGGTGCCTTATGTCGTTTTAGTACTTGGAGTTCTTTCCTGACCTCCGCTTCGGTTGGTGGGTCGGTACTAATTGACCAAGGAGCACTGGAGCTGTTGACATTGGATACTGAAGCTGGTGGCCAGCTAAACTGTTTCTCGAAGTGCTCTGCCCAGCGTTCCATACATCTTTTCAGGCTGGTATTTGGAGTGCCGTCTGCACCACAGACTATCTCGCTGACAATCTGTTTCTTGCTGCCGGTGGCTCGGATGAGCTGAAACGACTGTTGCCAAATCCAGCAGCTGACTCAATCGCACACTCACGTTCTGACCACCAGGCCTCGCGGTTTTTACGTAGACACTGTCTAATCTTGCGCGTAAGCGGCTTTCGGTATATTAATGTATTCGCTGGCTGCCGGAATGGACCGGCGTTTATCCAGGAGTTGCGAGGAACTCGCAGAAATCCAGTGGTTTTTAGCGGAGCATTCTGGTATTTCAAAGAAGTAGCAAGTGTTACTAGTCGGCTCACATCAATATTTAGATGACGCCGTTTATGAACCTCACTAAATCGCAAGACGGACCTGGCACACGTTAACGCATGATCGGATTCCAGGCATGTGCTCCAGAAGAAGCGGCAGTCTTTTATGCATCCTCGCCACCGGAAACTGGCAGCGATATGATCAATCTGAGTCTAAGCTTGATTCCCATGGGGAGGACGCCAGATGGCGCTACCGCGATGGCTGTGCCCGAAGTTGGTGCTGGCTAATGACAGGTTGCGATCTGCGCAAAGCTGCAGAAGATGGTCGCCATTATCTGACCTGTGACCATGTAAACCCCACTGACCACCTAGATGATTTTTCTCTGAGCTTGGACGCCCAACCTACGCATTCAAGTCCCCAGCCAGCACTACGATATCCCTCCGACGCGCCTGTTTCAAGAGATCACTCAGTTGGTAGTAAAACTTATCCTTAATTGCATCCGGGCTAAAATCCGTAGTTGTATAGACAGAGACAACAAATAAACACCGCCTATCTGGCCTACCACTTCTTACTTTCGTATAACCTTCCAGCCTTACAGCACATTAACGACTGTTAATGGGGATCCAGTGGAATTATGCAGCTTTAGCTCTAGCGCTTAATGCGACTCAGACATCAACTAGGCCGGATGCCGACGCCACAGGGTCTCCAGACGAACACAGGTGGTACATACTATTAGAACTTTCAGATGGAGAGAACAATCGAAGTACTTCACTGGAATCTTGAGTGTGGGTCTCCGAAATGCAGCAGACATCTATAGTGAGGCTTTTCTATGTTCTTGCCAAACCTGCCTGTTGTCCGATTTGCATCAGTGTCCGAACATTGTTGGTGGCCAACTTGAACGCGGGATGTGGTTTCCGAATATCTGTGTCGTGCTGGGGACAACCATTTTGAAGGCTGCTCACTAACATCACGAAACGGCACAGATAGGCTGAGAATTCAGACAAAGGCGAGTGGCTGACGAAGGTGAAGACGTCAAGGCTAGCAAGAGTAAAAAAGTTGGAAAGAGATGTGTCACTTAAAACACTGTTATTGTTTGACAGGATTGTTAAGAGCACGCGATTAGTTTTACTGATAGTTCGTTGCTTCATTTCATTGATTGTATGAGGGCTGAGATTACTAGCCGGGTGCCCAGACTGAAGCAGGTGGTTGTCTTAAGGGATCACCCCCTGAGCCTTTGACTTGGAGTTCAATCAGCAAGGTGGCGGAGCGGCGTCAGTAGCTACGCTCCCATGGTTGGCGGTGACCAATACAGGTTCGTACGCCATTTGATCCGATTGGATTCTGGAGCCCCTGCACCCTATGGTAACTGTTTTTCGTCTAACCGCTATCAAAACAATTTTACTGACATGATAGGACCTGCAGGAACATGAGTTCCAGCCAGTTTAGCTTGTTGGGTCACTGCCTGAACACCACGACAGGGTAGCAGTTGTCGGCCGGGATATTATATATATATATATATATATATATATATATATACTCTGGTTGTTTTAAGTAATCATTTCATAGCATCTTCACTTTTCTCTTCTTGTTTTTACTGCATAAAATATCGTTGCTCAGTTTAACTGTATTATTATACACATATTTATGTTTATTGTTTATAAGTTATTTGTATATTTTGTAAGGAAAAGATGTTGGTTTAATTAAGGAATTCATTCATCGTGAAGAAACTTCATCTCTTAGTCTCCGTCTTCAACCAACACCCTACTCCCGCTCCCCTCTTCCTCCTGTGCGACTCTGTAATATCGGTTGACTATTGAATTTTGTTACAATAAATCTCAAATTCTTTTGTTTTGTTTTTTCCAAGTTAATGTCAATCAATGGGACAGTAGATTATTGTGGTTTTTGCCATCCTCCCAACCAACCTCACCATTCAGTAATTATTCCAGTTTTTTACTCTTATAATCGGATATATGCTACAGAAATAATGTTGATTAAATAAAATAATTGTTTCTATCAGTGTTACAATAACTTTTGAATAGTTGCTGTAACACCTGCTTGGTTATTTGTACTTAGTCTACTTTAACCGAATTGGCAAATGTGTAGCTTATATATATAGTCTTCAAAGAGAGTGCATTTTAAACACAGTCAAATAGCGAGCGATAATATTTCAATACGTTTTCATACAGTTATTTTGTATTTTCCTTTGTTTGATATATATCAGACCGAAGTGTTCAGTCACCGCTAACATGCCGGTGCCCACTTCAAATGCTCCGATGACGTATGAAGGTTAACATTGTGGTATTTGTGGATGTGGTGGATAGCAGTTGGGTCAAACGAGTGAGGTCAACAAGAAAGACAAGACAAGACCCAGACAATAAAAATGGATATCAGTTGCATATGAGATGGTTCTAGCAGCCCAGTAATCCTGGTGGATAAGAATTAGGCTCAGAGAGTAGACTCAATGGGAACATCAGTACTCACTGAAGGTGCGGGTAGCTCCCGAGTGACGAATAACATGAAATATGCCTTCTAGTTTTAACGATCAGCCAAGTGATTCATCATTGTCTCACTAGAAATTACTCGTTTTTTGAAACCATGAATACTGTTTGAGGATCCTATCAATAATTGAACGTGAAGTGTTGCCACCTGAATCGTCTCACTTTTGGTCAGTGTTCTATGCTGAAATTCATTCAGTTGTAAAAAACTAAAATTTCTCCCTTGTTGATTTTAGACACTTTTCTCAGCTGCTTGTTTACATGTCTGCAATGAAATCGCCGCAGCCATTCGTCCATTATATCCACCGCGTGTATGGGATGAATTGGGTATTGTATTTTATGTAACATTTTGGAGTTTACAGTCAAGTGACTTAGTTGTCCCTGAATCAGCTTATCAACGGCAAATTCAACAGTTGAAAGAACAAATTCAACAGATTGATGCATCTGGAAGTACTTGGGTAATTTTCTATGTGATTGTGTTTTTCTTTCACTTTGTTGTTTCTTTGTACGCTTTTGATTACTATCAAAGCGACATAAGCCTGCCATATGTTTTTATTGTTTTATGCAATCATTCACTCAGTAAATTGCTTTCTTACCTACATGCTTTACATAAATTACTTCCTGAGTTAAATACCACCCACATTTTACATCGTTTTAGGCTGAGACAACGTCAAATTGTGTGTGTATGTGTCTTGTGTAGACTACATAATAAATGAATTGGAGTTGTGTGATTTATAGCTATTAAATCACTGCTTCTAAAGTTTGCAAAATATTCTAAGTTTTTTCTTTACGATAAAGGAAGCAATTCTTTGTTTTCAGCTATCATACCCGTGTGTTTGGTTCATCAGCATCTTCTTGTAAATGCAAGTAGTTGTTGAGTAGTATACTTCATTAATAAGTCGATGTTCTGTCTACATATGTGCAGGCCTTTCAACTTCACAATACCATCATCATTTCAAATTGCTGGAAACAAAGTAGTTGAGGAAGTAGTGTATAACGGTCAATGAAATGCAATCATACTGCGACTTTTTTAAGAATAATAATTTAATATGGTTGGGGTTCCTCTTAATGTTTTTATCAAACGCGTAATGAACCATAATACAAATTGGTATCTTAAGGTCTACAGTGTATATACTCACTCACTACTCAGATTGTTGTGCTGCTTATCAGCACACAGTTTGCGTCCTGTCATATGACTGCAAACGCAACTATGTAGTGTACTTCTATAATCCTTGTATAATTGATACATGCACTTAACTACTCAGTGCAATAAACTATCTGCTCCACCGCTGTTTTCTTTACGTGTACATACAATATCACTGTTTTGTAATCTAGATATTGGAAGGGCCTAACACAGTGAGTTTTGTGTCTGGTTATGTTTTTTCTCTTGCTGTTGCAGGATGAATCGCCATTTGTGGTGTGCATTTATGTGATAATGTGTTTACGTGTTTATCGTTTGTGTGGTATAACCAAAATCTCCAATTCCTAATGGGATATCAGTGTGATTATTTGAATTTAGGTTCAATCAACACTTTGACTTCTTTCTATTCTTTCTTTTTGGTCGAAAAGACTTTGTCACAATTCCTACCTTTTTTTTTACCAAAGAGCATCTATTTCGCTGTGTATACTTAGCAATGTGTTTAGTTTCGTCGAACTTGTGTCATGGCCTAAATCATTATGATATAAAGTAAACGTCATCGGTAAAGATACAGAGAACTCAAGTGAAAGTATGATTTTATCTTTCATAATAGTTTGCTGTTTTGGCATCACTTGATACCTTTTTCTGTTATCAGTCATGCGGAATTAGACACTATAACTATCGGACGTGCTTGTGATCTTTGATCAATTTCGTGTGTCATAGTTGTGTACTGCGATACAACATTTATCGTAAATCTGTTGTCAATGTCTTTATTATTCCTGTCTCTAAATAATTAGGCTCTTTTGCTTCCTTAACGGTTTGTGTAATATTACGTCTGAGTGAAAAGAAATTGATGTGTTTGAGACTTCAGTGAATTAATTGACTTGTAAATTCTGTAGCAATAATGCCTATATGATCCAAAAACCCATAGCTTCCTGTGCTTACAGTGTCTATGTTATATTCAAAGTAATCTGTTCAATAATATTAAGCAAGTAATCTGAAGCAGTGCTCTTAATGTCTATAATATTGTGTGCATTATTTTTCCACTTTGTCTTTTGTAAATGCTTCCTATTCATCATTAAATAAAGCTGCCTGTGTTCGTTTGTATACAATTTTTTTTCTTGTGACTAGAATTCAGCAAAAAAGAAACGTGAAATAGAACGTTTAGAAAATTTAATTGAGCGATTGAACGCTGAGCAATCAGAACGTGAAGAACATGTCACTCGTGTACGTGCTTGGCTTATGACTGAACGTGACAATTGGTTTCAAACAAGATTGGCTACAAAAACTGATACAATTACACAATTCTTACAGTTGTGTATTTATCCTAGAGTGTGTTTCACTGCTGCGGATGCTATCTATGCTGCACAATTTATGCATGTATTACATCAATTAAAAACTGCACGATTTTCTACGTTAATCTGTTTAGATAGAGTAAGTTGTGTTTTATAAGACATCTTAATTTTCCTATAGTATGATAGATGTAAATGTGTGTTCAATTTATATTCATAAGGGATTATCATTCGTCTTCATAAATGGGAGTGAAGATTAAGCAGTTGTTTTTCAGTCATTTGGTCACTGGTTCGAATCCTGACTTCATTTAATTCAGCTTGGACAACTGGATAGGATAATCAGCATGAAAAAAAGAATCTATTTCAAGCAGTTAACTTACAACATCATATAACAGAACCGTCTTGGGGTGTTGTGACGAAAACCGGATTTTAAAGTTACACTGTCAGATAACTTATTCATTCGTCTATTCATTGTTTCAAGTGGTATAGACTTCTGGAGCTTATAGCTAGTATTCCGATATTCAATAGTGTATGATTTCACTCGGTTTTCCTAAGTGATTTTAATTTTCAACTAGATTTTATGTTGTTATTTTTAATAACGTTTCGCTTTGTGAGTTGTTATGACGAGTGATTATTATAATGGATACGTACATTTCAACATAGTTCTCGTCTAGGACCAACTACGAATCTTTCAGGGAAAAAAACTATTAAACGGTAGATTATGGTAAAATAACACCCACAATGAGTACATCACTCTTCAGCTGCCAGCACTTCAGGTGGTTGGGATGCATCTTATGTCTAACAGAATCACCACTTTTCAAGTAGAACAATTCGTAGTCCATGATCCACTTAAGTCTCTGTCAAGCGCTTTGATTCTTGTATGTTTGTGTAGTTTACGTAAATGTGTTCTTCTTGATGTTTAAAGTAACTGATAGGAATATCTAGATGACATGGATGAAAATTGTTCACAATATCTTAAACTGATTTATTCTGTCTTTATCATTCTCAAAACATTGAATCCTTTCATAAATCATTTTGTCATCACTGTTTCTACGTGAACACTGATTTATGTTAACTGTTTATTGTACATTTTGTAGTAGTTAACAGTAAAGTTCACAACTCACGTTTCATTCCATTTGAAAGTCATCAGCTTGATTGATGTTCTTTGGCTCATAGATGAATCAAAGTAAAAATGTGTACTGAAATGTATCATTTCAAACTATCATGCTTCGAAAATGATATTAAGTGGGAGAATATGGGAACAACTGTTGAAAAAAAATGATGAACGCGGTCACCAAAGAATGAGTATCTGCACCATTTAGTCTATTCCACTAAGGATTCCGAGTTGTCCGTCGGTGGCATAGTGGTTAGGACTCTCGCCGACCATGCACATGGTCTGGGGCTCGATCCCCAGCCGACGCACTCCTTTACCTCGCTAAGCCAGAAATAATGCTGGTGAAGAGGAAAGGTTGGGCATGAGGCTAGCAACCCCATCCTGTAAAATAAGCACTGCTACAGAAACTTCAAGCCACTAGCTTGAAGCCCTATGTTCCACTGCGGAACGTGAAGGTAATAAAAAAAGGATTTCGAGTTACTGATTTTTATATATGGACTCCCTATCACAAATTACCTATACTTCTCTATGTGATTCTGATCAGTAGTCTGTGACTTCATGGTTCTACGGGATGTTTGGTTCTAATAACCCTAAACTGTTTGACGTATTACTTTTGTATTTTGGAATGCTCATGGAAAAAGATCAGTGGCTTTGTTTCTATAATTACTCAAAACATATTTCTCCGATGTTTTACAATTTCATTTTTGATTACATAGATCTTCAATGATATAACCCTACCGACAAGTATGTGCACTGAAGATGAAGCACATCGCTACGGTCGATTTCTGTGTGCAGTATTAGAGTTAGTTATGCGTTGGCATGCTAGTGAAGAAGTATTCAATCAAGAATGTGGTCAATATCCTGGCTTTGTTACAGTCTTTAGAAAGGTGAGTAACACCTGCATGTACATAACTGTAATGCATAAATAATCCTTTCTCTCAATCTTTTTTTTACTTCCCCGTTGTGCAAGTGGGGGCTTTCGTCGCCTTCTGGATAACGCTTTGCTGTTTGAAATGACGAATGTTAGTTCTGAGTCTCATTGGGGACACAATCACTCCCTGAACAGCAGGTCATCCAGATGATGAGTTCTGAATAAAACGAAACGGGCTTGAAGATTCCATTTTCAGCTATTACCAACCAAACTTGACACGCATACCGTGATGCTGGTTTAAGCGGATGCAGATGAAGATCATTTATGGTCATATATGAGCATAAATTGAAAACATGGGGTAGCTGAATCAATTCTTATTCACCCCGTCTTCTACATTTTTCCGCCTTATTTTAGTATCTTACCTATCTCACTTAAGTAGAAAATCCACTTTACATACTTAAACACCACTTTTCTCCAGTTTCTAAAGTAAAAATTTATCTATTCTCAACTTTATATATATATATATATGTACATATATATCTTTTTGTAAATGGAATGTTGACATTTTTGACTAGTTGTTATCATTCTATCCATCGCTTGTATTCGCTATCTCAACTTTGCTTATCAATTCGTATCATCATCATCATCACTGTGATGTATGTTGTTTAGTAGTGGCTGACTTTCACTATTATACCTTTCGTGTTGTTATCATTTAAAAAAGTATTTTGTCAAATGTTACTAGTTATTTTTGGTTTTTTTTTCTGTTTCCCCCTAAAACATCTATCAAATTTAATAATTTTCCAATTGTCAGGACTATATTGTGAATGCAATCTTTCTTAAGATACAGTTTTCACGAATATATTTACGTCCTGTTGAAGGAAATATATTTTGTTTCCGTATAATATCTCTGTTATGACTTGGTAGGTTTGTACTTTCCTTACTATTTAAACGCTGTTTGAAATGATGTGCAATGCCTTCCGATTGTTAGATTTTCTGTGCGAGGGGAACTTAATTGATTTTTAAGAACTACGCGCGTTTATTCCTACTTGAGACTCGTCAATGTTATATGCCTGCCTCCCACTAAGTGATGGCGCTCTCACTCAGGCTCGAACCCAGAGTTCATCAGTTATCATTCTTGTTAGTTGCTTTATATCTCTTCTTGGTTGACACATACTAGACCGAAATGTTCGGTCTCAGGCGCATCCATATGATGTGTCCCGAGTAGGACGGAATACATACTCTGTACTATAAATAACTAGACCTTTTTTCTCTTTTAGTGGGTAACTTTCATTGTGGTGGTTGACGTTAGGGTGGATGCTGGAGATCATGGATAGATGAGCTTCCCTTGGGTAGCTAAATAGTTGTATGCCTTCCTTTTGATGTCGTTTGTTTTTAGACGTTGGTTTCTCCTTTATTCGAATGTTTGCATGCTACTAAAAGTTTCTAACTAAGGGGAGACAATAGTCTAGTCATTTATGCTATCTGATGTCTATTCGTTAATGATTATTCTTGATAAAATCTATACTTGGAGAATCTTAAATGATTTCAAGTTAGATTTCATGACTAACGGGCATAAACTGAAGAAACATCGGAGATCAGCAGATGGTTTTCCTTAGTTTTCAATGATTGTCTGACTGATATAGGTTCTTGATGAAATGTAACTTAAAATTAAGTCAAATCCCCTCCTATAAATGAATATTATTGTCATCTGGTTTCAGTTGGAACTTTAATCCTGTAAATGTCAATATTACTTTTATGATTCTCTTTTAATCCCACTCTGTATTATAATCTCACACGATTTCTCTGTCTCTGTATGTAGTGTGTCTTTTCTTCTTAAATTACATGATAAGCATTATTTGAGTTCGTGTCCTCCTCCTCCTTCTCCCCTTCTTCATTCTCCTACACTGAGTCATGGCTATAAAACGTTTGGAATCTTTATTTGATTTTACCTTTTACTCAGAATAAGTTTCTTTCTTTTGTTGTGTATTTATGCAGTTTGTGTGTGCGCTTGTGAATGAATCAGTGATGAAGCAAGTTTCACAATAGAAACGTTTGTATTCACATTGAATTGGAGCATATTGGGAGGTCGATGACAAAAATAGTTAGAAGTTCCACTTTGTTCGTAAAGCATTATGCGCCTCATAGTAGCCGATCCCGTCCTGCACACATACGTGCACACAGATTTTTGAATTCTAGTAGCATGTGAAGGTTTCTGTTGTCTCTTTATGTATACATCGATCTTGTCTATTCGACTAGTTGTGTTTAGTACAGTTAGTTGAGAATACATAATCATCTATAATGCGGTTATTAGTAATATTCCACTCTGATTTTTCCCCAGATGTTTAACAGTAGTCTTTTCTTTCGTTTAGTGATTTTAACTATTTGCATCTCCTTTATTGTTTTTAGGAATTGTTTAACATTGAATTTTTTGAAGTAAGGCATACATCCACTCAAGATTTGATTCTTAATCGATCACAGTTATAATTAAACTAGGCTTAGGAGCTATGCATACTGTATAATATGTATTAGTTAATACTGCTACCCAGGTAGGTGGTCAAACGACGGAAGTAGGCGGAGGCAGATTGGAACTCGAGATTGATTGATTGAATTTCCAATAGTAGGGACTACAGACAGTCACATTCTCGCGCGTAATAAGTTACACACACACACATACACCTGTAAAACGTTTTCTCACTAATTAGTTAAGTTCTTCTGTTACTGTTTTAGACTGTTTGACTGCCCAAGTCAATATGTCAGTAGTCAATCAGTAGATGAGTCTGTGGATGTAAATTTTAATAAGTTCTGGGCATTTGATATCCTAAAAGTTAGTGTAAATCACAACATAGAATTCTGGCTATACTACGCACATCCGTAACATTCTGAAAATGGTGAAGTTTTTGTGCATACAATTCAATGATTGACATGACTAGCTGAAAACTCCTCACGTCATTCAGTAGTATTTGCTAGACAAACTGATGAAACATCACACTCTAATCTCTCCATTGGAACTGGGATGAAAAACAAAGGAGATGAGCGTCTGAAGTTGATTTGTAGATCATGTGAGGAGTAAGTGTAAGCTTATGAGCAGCCATCGAATCAGCTGGAAGGGTTGTCAGACAACTGAGTAGAATGGAGATTTTCAGTTGTAGTAGCCTATGTTCAGCTCGAGACTCAAGGAATGAACAATAGTGATGAGCACCGGTGAGTCATTTCTCTTGACTGTCAGATGTCGATCCACTTTTATCTTGGCTTTTTGAGCTGTTGAATTTTGTGTAAAAGTTGATCTACTATCTAATTTTCTTTTTAATCAGTGTTTGTTTTCCATTGTATAAAAGTAACTTGAACCCCATTAAAATTTTTCCTTTCTCTGATTTTTTTTGTCTGATTAAAATTTATATTCACAATTAAAATGGGACAAAGACTTACCAAGGTTTAGACGCTAACACAAAACCGGATCAATTACAGTATGAAAATTATCGGCATGTAGTGCATAAATGGCATTATCGGATAACAAAAGCAATTGTTGCATGTCTTGAATCAGGGAATTATGTACAAATACGTAATGCATTGATTGTACTGACGCGTATCCTACCACAATATCCAAAAATTATACAATTTGGCAGTGCTGTAGAAAGACGTGTGATCAAACTAAAAGAGGAAGAAAAAGATCGTCGTCCTGACTTAAAGGTTTGTTCTTTGTTATTAGTAATAATATGTAGTAAAAATGCTTACTTGTTTACTTATTCTGTTTTATTCTTAAAGACTTTGCGAGTTTATCTGTTGTACTTTTGTTGTTATTATTGTCTGTATTTTCTTATTATTACACACGTATTCGTCACATGAAGTAGTTTTTGTGCCCTAAATGAATGAATTTCAATGACCTTATTTTGATTACCGAAATTTATGAGGATATAAATAAGAATAACTCAACTGAATAGGTGAGTTTTTGATACCTCTGAAGAAATGTATCTCTGTTAGGTCCAGACTGACTTAAAACAAGTCCATAGGCCAACAATAGTAATTTCTCATAACTTGAGACCTGTATCCTCTCCTGTCCTATTGACTTTCAGTTGACTATCTCCGATTGCCTGATATCAGTTTAATGTATATGCCATTGTAATAGAAATGTTAAGTTGAAATCTTAATTTGCATAAATTATTCATATTTTGCTTCTTTTGTCTTCACTGCATGCTTTCTATGCTGCTGCACAGTTATGTTTGCAACTTATTCCATTCCAACTGATGCCATTCTAGATTATTGCACAGGATGTTATATAATATACTTCTTTCAGTTTGTTGTCAACAGCATGACGGCATATCACCCAGTGTGGTTATGACACCATTAAATTAATGATTGGAATTCAGTCAGTACTTACATTTTAGGTTGTCAATAAATTTGCGTTTAATTTATTCGGCTTTGAACAAAGCAACAACTACAGTTTTAGCAGAATAAAATGGTACCATATTTTATTTCGTCGCCTTCTCTTCAGCTGCTTACAGGGCAAAAACAATATTAAATGTATCTACAAAAGCAATTTAACATACTTGCACAGAGTTCATTTTAAACAAAAATCAATCGATCAATATACACATACACTAATAATATATATATATATATATATGTATATATATGCATTATTGAACACAATTCCGAGCAATAATAATCATACAAAATGAAAACTTTTCAGTATCTCGCATTAGGATGAAAAATATCCAGTTACCAGGGCAAAGAAAGACTGATAACTGCTTCTTTCTGAACGCACAAATCAGGTTTAAGGCGCTTGATGGAAAAGGCTTCAGCAAACTTAAGGAGCATTGAACTCTTTTGCTTATTGATAATTTTGAATGACTTTTCCACGTCCACCCGATGACCCGTGTCAAGAAGATGCCTGGCGATGGCACTGCCTAAAGCATTTGTTCCCTTGAGACGTAAGCTTTTCGGTACATGTTCAGAAAATCGTAGATATGCTCTTCTTTCTGTTCTTCCAATGTTACTGCTCCCACAGATATATGTAAATTTGTATATACAGTTGGAGTTAACATGGGAAGGATATCTATCGATTTTTGATTGCACCAGAGAGCAAGTTGTTCGAAAGACGGGAACGAGCTTAGCTGCAGGATAGGCTATGGCTAGTGATGTACTCAGCCTTCTGTTGATCATCGCTGCAATGTTTTCGCCTTTATAATCAAGCTGAAAGTAGATTGGCTTTTTTCTTACTGTGCTTTGTTTTTCATTTGCGACTGCAGATCTTCCATACTTGTTGATGAACCTTTGAGGGTACCCATTGCTCTTCAATGTTTTTTCAAGAAACTCAAATTCTTCCTCTAGTTTCTCTGTAGAGCATATTCTTCTCGCTCTATAGTACAGAGTCTTGACCAGTGCTCGTTTATAGCTATTAAAATTTAAGTATTGTCCTTTCCATGTGGACTTACGATAAATTGACTTTTGAAGACTACCGTCTTCTAGGCGTTCCATGGCGATGTCGAGGAAGTGGAACTTCCCGTCACTTTCATGTTCTATAGTGAACTTGATATTGTCGTGTGCATCATTGAATAATCTTAGTAGGTGTGAAGCATGACTATCATTTTGCACACTATAAATGTGTCATCAACGTAACGACAGTAGGAAGTTGTCTCGTCGATTGCATGCTTCAACTTTGTTCTTTCAAGGCTTTGCTTTATGCTCTTGATATTCGATGTAGTCACAGTGTAGTGGAAATAATAGTGTGCCACTTTGTAAATGCCAAACTCAAACTGTATGCCGTTGTAGACGTAGGCCTGGTAGCTTAAACCACCCTCACGTGTAGTGTTTTCTTTAGCCAGTTAGCATAAACCAGTACTGGTCCTCCATTCAGTACTCTTAGCATACATTCATATTGAAGGTTGATTGAGCCACATGGGACTATAACTGTTTGTTTTTCAGGAAGGTGGACTATGTAGTGTGAAGATTTTCATGTTTAAGTTACATATTTATAGTGATTATCAGTGTTAGTGTTCATTCTAAGTCCTGGGAATTCTCAAATTTCATACTGTATTGGTTTATAGTGTTGTTTTTGTAAGCGGTAATACAATTTATTAAGTAAGATTTGTATTTCTGCTACTCCATCTTCATGCATGAATTATTGTACTCTCAACTGGTAGGTTAAGCGTTCAACTACTTACTCATTTATTTACAATCTTTATGATGCAGAAGATTTCACATCTTGTTGTATAAAGTGAAATTTTTAAAATTTAGTTGAATAATCACATAAATATTAAATATTTTTCTTTGTTTTATTCTCTAGGCTTTGGCATTCAGTTATGCTGGTTTAATGCATCCACGTAAGGCTAAGTGGGTTAGTGAAGAAGAGTTTCATTTAAAAGAGAAGACAACACGTCCTGAGATTAATACCAGCTATTCGGTTAATCATCAAAACCCTAACAGTGGTAGTAATATGAATACCTCCCAATTCTCTAGTCGAACTGTTTCGCATACAGACACTAGTGGTGTTACCGCTACTGCTACGCCAACTACTGCTCATAATCTACGTGGCCAGTCAACAGTTAATCAACAAACAAATTCTTTTAATCCTAACTCTGCTAATGCTAATACTACTGGTAGTAGTAGTAGTAGTAGCAATATTCAGTCTTCTGTGCCGGCTGGTAACGCTAATACTACTAGTGCTACCGTTAATACTTCAATTGGTTCTTCAACATTTGAACCGCCACATGTTTCTGTTCCTGTACGTCGGAGTACGACAACAAATAGTTCAGTAGCACCACCGTCAAGTGGAAATGGTGAGTTAGTTGCTTTTTAGTCTGTATTTATATGCATTATTATACATTTAAAGGTATGTATGCAAATATTTGGTTCTACATTCCAGTCGACTAAGGGTATATTGAGTCCTTTTGGTTCTCATGGTAAACCTTAAGTGCATAAGATTATATATCATGGAAGGAAGTCGATATTACTAAAATTAATTAGAAAGAAATTAGAGGAGTCCGTAAGCACTAATTTAATTTGAAATAATTCTTTTGTATTTGAAATGATGGATGTAGGGTGCCGGTCTCATTGAGACCACCACCAACCCACCGGAAATTAGATACTACAAGAGATGCGTCACACAAAATCTCACTTTGTACGAGGCCTTGGATACTACTTAGATGCCCAAATAAAAGCAGGTGGTTGACTGATAGAGCCACCTCCGTAGCTTATTACTTGAAGTCTGATCCATAAAGCAGCGTTAGGAGCTACGTTCCTATGGTTACCGGTGACTAAAACGGGTTCCTCTACCATTCGATTCTTTCGGACTCTCAAACACATAGATTAAGAATCAGGGTTTTCCAGTTCTCTTAGGTAGGCTAGTATATTCACCAGTAGTCCGGTTGTGAGTGGCACGCCTTCACATTCGTCCTCTCACTTCTGTGGTTTCTTTCATTTCAATATGTTGGTATTTTATGATATTCATCGTTAAAATGGATCCTTGGGTTCTAATGCCCTTCCCCCCCACCTAAACTACTGGGTAGTATCGGCATATTTCCCGTAATGAATATGGCTTATAGACTGCGGTACATGGAAAATCTGTTCCTGGTCACTGATTTGTAGCTAATTTGCAGGATACAGCAGAGATGAATCAAGCAAATCCACAGTATCATTAGTCTTCATGTAATATATGTGGCTTATAAGTTGGTAACTGAGTAACAAATATTGTTGTTCAGTTTACTTTGTGTATTGCTTTATGCTTTGAAAAATGATTTCTCATTTACTCGTTTAACTTCCTTCAGAAACACGCTTACGTAGTCAAACAGCGAATCCTCCTGCTGTTTCTGCGGAAACTTCAAAATCTGCTTCAACTGTGAATACATCTACATCTGGTTCATCGTCTACGGGAGCAGTGGCTAACAACAGTGTTGCTAGTTCAGCTACACCTCAAACCACTACTCAGAGCAAATTACGGTCTAGTCAGTAAGTAATTGATAATATTCACACAATATGTTACAATGTACAACTAATTAACAGATTCATTTTCTTTATTTCAAAGTTTTCCTAGCAATTAGGATTTGCTAGCTCCATCCAAACCTTCCTTTTTTTTCCCCGTTTGCAACTAGTCACTGAACTAAGCGAGATTTACTCTCTCTCCCTCTCTCTCTCTCTCTATGTCTTGCGCTTTTGGACGGAGGCTCAGGTTATCATGCGAAAAGAAACCAGGAAGTGATCCCACTGAATGTAGATAATATCTCAAAAACAAATAATCGTCCTTTTTAAGTTTGCATTGGTTGCATCATACAATCAGTGGGTATAATTAGCTTTTGTATAATGCATTCGATTCGTTATGGGTTATCAGTTATCCCACCACAACCATAGGTGTTCGGTTATTAGTACATTCTTTATAAGTATTGTCTCTGAAAACCAAACCGTTTGGAGGTGATATAACTTCCTAAATATAATTGAAGTGGTTAGCGTACTTGATTACTCTTCATTTATAAAAATGAACAATCACTGATAGCTATTCAAAGTTGTCAAATAACTCTCTTTGACTTTTGAAGTTATTTGAAGTTATTCATATCATGTTCATCACAAGATATATAACTTTAAATTCTCATGTCTAATATGTAGTGTACGTTCCATGTTTCAAATAAATGATGAATTAAATAGTATATTTCACATATAAAATAAGTTCATTTGATGTAGCATACAGTGATACATTTTTAATAATTGGATGACTTCTTTAGCTTAATATGATATAAATAGGTAAATAGTTGCACTCTAGCTTAGTGTCTAGTAAGTCGCGTTATTATCCATATCTCGTGTTCGACTACCAGTAAAACTATCCAGCTACTCAAATTTCAATAGGTAATAGAACTTATTTACTTGGAACAGACTTTTCAATCACCTAGCTATGAACCACGTTTTTGTATTCGGATAACCAGTTAACCAGACTTCAATAGACTAAGTGCTATTCGAGTCCAGTTTCCACTATCTCAAAGGCGAATGCTTAAGACAATGAAGAGAACAGTCACGTCGCGAAGAGGCTAGCATTTTAAATAATAAATGTGTTTGTTTGATGGAAGTGTCTTGTCTGCCTCAGTATTAAGTAACATTGTTAAATAATAAGCGTCAAACTCATGATTTATATCCTCAGTGGTCTCATCTCGCGACTTTAGAGTCCTGGGTTGGATTCCCGGTAGGATCATTGGTGCATACTGCTGAAGAGTCACAATCTAGGAGTCAACTGTTCAATAATACCTAGTGGTTCTGTAACCTAATGCTAGTTTGTAATCTCGCTTGAAGTCAGTCTAATCATAACAAGTCGACACTTCAGAAATTATTCAGTGTTTCCTAAAGATTTCTTCAAAAGCCCTACTGTGATTTCTCTTATTATTTCCCTATTTACTTTGCTTTCTTTTCAAAAAAATAAATATAGACGCCTAGAAGCGACCGTGTCAGTTACAGATGAAGATGCCCCTGCTGTATCAAATTCTCAGTCGCACTGTAAGTTAAAAGCCTCAAAAAATAGGAAAATCACGTTGAGTTTAATTTTTTCCCGCTATGCTAATATAACATTAGTATTCATCATTGACTGACGGACCGGTTTCATCATAGAACTTTGCACCGATGTGCAGTAGTTCGAGTCGCCACATTTTGCTCAGCACACAAAGCCAGAGAAGAAGAAATTAGGAAGAAACGCAAAATAGAGACAGTAAAGAGAGATATGAGGCAAAAAGAGTAGTAATATGGAAGAGTCATATAGTTTTATTGGATAATATATGTGACAAGGAGTGGATGCATCTACGCCATTGAGAACGATTTTGAGCCTTATCACCAATTGTCTCCAACCATTGGTGTTTACCATCCTGACAACCCCAACTAGCAAGTATTTCAAGGTCATATTGTCGAACCCATATGATTAGGCAAGATCCACTTCGCCACATGTCAAATATCATTCATTGTCTTATAAAACTGTCAGAGATTTGAGCTTTTGTTAATAGAAGACAACACTTCTATAAACTGCAATGTTATCACACTTATTTCTCTCTTGTTAATTATCATCCAGTGCTAAATTTAGTTCAACTACAAATTATCACCTCCCCACTTTTTGTATTCTTTGTATACCAGGCTAACTAGGTGTACTTGGTTTTGTGAAGATTTGTAGTCGTACTGTTTGGGTTATATAGGCGTGATTCTTACACACTACAGATCGATTAGTATGAGCAGTTGAATACCATTGACAACAACCAGTAGTAGCCTTTGCTAGCTAGATTGAAATGATCTAGACTGAACGACCTTCCGATATTATGTCATTCAACTTTGTAGATAATAAATCCTTCGTTTTGAAACCCTCTCCACCTACTTCAATCTGAGCAACTGAATATGATAAAAGTAGTTTGGGGTAACTAACTCAGTTGAAAGAACACTGCCATCATTATCGTCATAATTGAGTGCAATTAATAAAATTGAATATAATTACTTTAACTTAATAAAAATGTTGTCGTCGATGCTGTACTGCATTTTGGCTCAGTCAATTAGTTTCTCCTTTCAAATCCTATTCGGGACACACATGCACACATAGCACAATAATTAATTTAGTTTGTCAAGTTCTTTACATCTGTTATGTAGTATGAAAACTTTGTTCAACATAAAAATAAATAAGTAAATAAATTTAAAAACCGATGAATCTCGAATGACTGAAAACGTTTTGTTTTGAAAAGTAGTCATTTCAATTTTTGATTTTTCCCCCCGACTTTTTATGCTCTTTTTGTTGTTGTTATTGCTTCTGCTACATTGAGTATCATAAAAATGTTTATCTAAGAACTCTATAATACTTCGCAAGTTAATCTTGTGTAATTGTTTATCCTGTTGAGAGTCGATTAAGGAAAATGACCAGTTTCAACACTCGTCAGATTTCTTCATGCCTCTTAATGATAATGAAAATAATGCAGATTTATTTTCTACAGAAGAACAGATCAATAATAATAGTGTCGTGATGTGATATAGGGTTGGAGGTTATCTAGGTTTCTGTCTTGTTGGCATTCATTGTCACGATACCGTTTTACGCCTCCCTTGATCTACGAAATCTATACTGAGCTGAAATTTGCATTCCCCTCCAACACACTTATACATTTATTATTATTATTTGTCCCTTGTGTTTTGAGTAAAACATTTATCTTTGGCGGTACGCCTTTATTTCAGTCGGTCCTCTGTCTTCACTTTCGACCGCCCGACCTTCATTTCTCCCTCACATATTCTCATTTGGCGATCTAACTATAGTTAGTCTCTTACCACTCATGTTCCACTTGATATCCTAACATATGATGTCATTTGATAGTCTGTCCAAGCCAATTATGTTTCCTTCTGGATATTTGTCAGGTAAATAATTGTCGGTTGGTTCGCTTCCACAGTTCCTTTTTCCCTGCTTACCTTTTCTGACCGGTTATCTGACCTTCAGTATCGAGGGGAGACAAGTGTTGATCGTAGCCTACAGAACCTTGTTGGAAATCCTTTTGGTGTTGCGTTCACGAAGTTTGTGAACCACATAGAAGCGGGTACTTGACATTCGCGTTGAAAGTTCGGACGTTATTCCTTTTGCTGATCGTCATATATCTCCACACTGATTTCTAAGTAATGGATTTCTGTCTGGCTTTGACATCCTCATCTCTTCTGTCTGTAGTTTATATGGTATTGGCGAGGTTCGTGAACGATGCCACATTCTCTAGATATATCTCGTTGACTGGGGATCGGTGAGGTATCTTCATCACTTGTCTTTTCAGTAGCTATCTGAATTCCGTACTTTTCTGCCTCTTCTGTAAAACTGGTAAATCTTCGAGTTTGTGCGAAGTCATCCGCGAAACCCAGATCTTCTAAGTTGTTTTTGTCGGCCCACCGTTTGACTATCTCATCCATCCTCCACCGTCTGCTGTAGTGAATGGTCTATTCTTGCTGTTATCTTCACTTTATACACTATCTGTTATGAGAGTATATATACATATATCGCAGTTTTTTTGATGATTCATTATAATTCTTTTAATTTTCTCTTGATTAAATTAGCATCATCTAAACGTCGTCGAGTGGAAACAGTCAATTCTAATAATACCAACAGTGCAAATGGTTGTGTTCTGACAATGTCTTCGTCGAAGGTGAGCACTTGATGCAATTCTGTCTCTATGTCTGTCTATCTCGGTGTGTTATATGGTGAAATCTACCTTAATGTGATTACCTGCATGTTCACAAAGAAAGCAGTTAACACTTCTAATCTAATTGATTAATCTATTGCCCACGAACCGTTTCCAGTAATATTCTTTGGAAGGAGTTTATTTTTCTCAGTATCATGAAGCTAACTTCATTGTGATCTCAATGACAAGTTGGATGTGATGTGAAGAGAAAACAGAATTCTTCAATCCAACTAATTTATCCTGTCAAATGAAAGTTTTAGAAGTGAAAAGCAAACTTCTAAATTAATTAACTACACAACTACTCACTTTAAAGTAGGCACATTCAAATAGCGATTCCCAAATAGGCCGCAACGTGAGTCCTGAATTCCACTGCTAGCCACCACTAAACGGATCACTTGGAGTTATTACTCTTGGTTGTTATGTGGAGGCATCTGTTGAAGGAAATGACATCCTAATGAAAGCAATCGACACCTCTAGTTTAACTGATTGATATATTTCTAACGAACCTTATCGAGGAATAACATTTGGAAGGTGTTCATTTCCGGAGTTTCATAATCGATACTTAATGATTGTAAATATGTCTCCTTGGGACTATAAAATACATGAATATGCTGTCGATAAAGACGTTGTTAGTGTAACTTTCACTCATTCTTGGAGGCAGATAGTAAACCAGTTGTAAGTTGAAGTTAATCGACTATTGATGGTACATGGATGTGTGTAAATATGTTTCGTAAACTGTTTCCCTGCTTACTACTGTGTTTTGGATCTCTGGATAAGTCGATAGACTCACTTTTCATCCAACCTTTGTTAACGATGTTGTACCATTCGAGCTTCTGTGATCTTCTTGATGATTACCTTTAATTGGGAACATTTAAGAAACTGTGTCTTGTTAAATTTGGTGGAAATTAAGAAGTTAGTCCAAAGTCAATACCTCCGGTTTTTAATATTTTTTACTGGTACCAAAGCTGTTGTTATCTCTTGAAATGATGGAGAGGACGTAATTGGCGTTCTTGCGTTCTTTGAGCTGGATAGTTCAGTTGTGAAGCCAATTAATTGTAATGGAGTGTGTCGTGAAAAGATGACAAAACTTTCCTATCCATTTGGTTTACTGTGTCAATGAAAGCTTGAGTAACGATGGGAAGACATCCAAGTGTCTTAACTGTACACCATCACTCCACGGAATGCTGGTACATCTACCGCTAGCCACCACCAGAAAAGTCCCTTCGAGTTATCAATCTTAGTAATATCGAAGCAGCTATTGAAGGAGCTGACATACGAAAAGGCTTTGGTCAATTTAGTCCAAATACATATTTATACATGTCAGTGGGAAATCACAAATATGAGAATGAATAACTACAAGGTGAAATGAGAAAAGAGGTGACAGGTGAAGAAGTCAATAAAAAGAAGGAGAATTTGAATATTTCCATTCTTAACTTATCTATTGGTCAGTCAGATGAAGGATATTATAAATGGGCATCTTATATCTATCGTTAGACGGTGTGTATGTGTACGTCTGTTAGCCAACTGAGAACACAATACCTTCTTACAAAGTATTTTAGAAACTTGGATTACAATTTGCTGACTTTATTCACCTTGAATTGTCAACGAATTGGTTTGTGTTGTTGTGCGACCACGAAATGGGTGTTATTATGTCTTGCTTTTTTCATACTGAGGTGAGTTTTAGACAAAGACATATATATGTATAGGTATATATTGTATTCACTCATAATCACCAAGAACCACCCAAAAAAGAGATTGTATTTTGTGTATCTAATTTCTTAATTTGCATAATTGTTTTTTTTAAAAATAAATAATTGTTTTCGCTTAAAAAATATTGCTTATGAGAATTAACGTTGTTTAATACAAATGCAGAAAGCAAATAACATTTATACAAATCATATATACATGCATAAATACCTACACACATAAAATGCACAAATCAACCTAGTTTCTATTCCTTTGTAATCTCTCTCTCCCTCCCTCTTCGTATGTGTGTGTGTGCGCGTGTGCTTTGTCATGATAAACTGATTCACAGGGGAGTAGTTGTAGTAGTAGTAGTAGTAGTAACAAGTGGAATTCTCATCACAATTTTCTTCCAATTTCGTCTTAATCACTATTCGTTGCCTGCCCCTGCTGCTGCTGATAGTGATGATGACGGTGATGAAGTTGCTCTTGTACGCATAATAACACATGTATCCATAAACTTATCGTTATTATTATTATTATCATCATTTTTCCATGTATTTTGAAACTCACTTTTCTTTGATTCGTTGTTGTTGCTGGTTTTCTTTTTTTTCATTTTACTCTTCAACAGAAATAGGCAAAATGATAATCAAAATGTCATAAACAGTAGTTTTAGTTCTTTTGGTTTTCTAAACTTCCATTGCTGCTTCATGGTTTGACAAACACAGAAAGTAATAAAGCCGTAAATGAAATATAGAAAAAGTGATTGAAAAGTAGTTTCATGTACAAGGCCACACACGTTTATAAGAACTGATTATTCTTCACCCAGTAATAGTAGGTCAAGCAAGATTCGACTCAGCATTCGTTGTCAACTGGAAATTGTGTACTTCTCAGTCAACTGGTCATATCTCCACATCAAAGAGAATCAGATAGTTGAAGAATTTTTGAATATAATTAATAGTAGAATGTAAAGTTGCGTACTTCAACGAGAACTGAAAAAAAACCGGTAAAGTAGGGAGGTTTACAACGCCTGTCTGGGGACTGATGGTTACATGGGTGAGAATAATCCTTAATAGCACATATAATCCTGTTCTGTTTTGTCATCAATAAGTCAATACTGATTCAAACTACATGCCTATTGATATTGAGTCAATGTGTCTTGAAATATGAAGTTATCAGGGGTGTTACTTGGTGGGAACGAAGAAAAAAGTTGTGATAGAAACCTGTAAATGGAATATTTCCACGCTTAAAACTACAACAGAGTTTTTTTGAAATACTGTAAATCTGTAGTTATCTAATAGAGTCACAAGCATACAGCGTTACAATAGCATTCCCTGTTTATTATTATTGTTGTTGAAATTGCTTATATTATACCTTGACTCCTATTCCTCGAATGGAGATGTGACTTGTTCGCTTGAACATCCAGGTTTTAGTTCCAAACCGCACACTTCAGTCTGGACAACAAGGCACACTATGATCTCTCCTCACACACAGTAATTTGCTTGATTTATAACCTAGAAAATAAAAATATCTGATCCTTGGTTAAAGTATCCTACCAGCAATTCAAGAGACCTTTCATAAGTTCCAATCCTGTCGGCTGGTTTAATCCTCCACGCCTCTGAGATGGTTTCATCGCTACTAAGAAAATAGTAACTTTTTAGCATGCTGTCATGTTACCCTTCTCACGTTCTTTCTTTTCTAATCTTATTTACATTAAATTACTCTTAATGAGTTGTTTTGCGTTACTTGTGCTAAACTGCTAGTCTGTTTGTGTTTTTTTGGTTTATTCTTTGTGATTAAGAACGACAACTAGTTAGTAATTTTAGTTAGATGAGATGGATAAGAAAATTTATATATATATATATATATATATATATATATATGAAGTATTGTGTTCTGTTTCCATAGTTTACAGTTTCATTCATGTTTAATTCCCATGTGGTCACAGATGTTTTTCTTGACAAACTAGTGTTATGATTATTAATGTGTTAGTGTATACACGAGTAATAACAATCAATTTTTATAGCAAATATAATCTGATGATGAGTGGAGAATAGGTGTATGTAATATATATATACATGAGTAGTGAGACGTTGTCGACAATGTCTCTCCTACGGAATTAAGCACTCACAAACACATGTAGTCTACGTCTAGAAACCACAAATATTGAATATTGTATATTCGATGAATACTTTGGATTACGTCAAGTGAACAGAATACTGGAATTAAAACGTTGAAGGTCAACAAACAGTATTCCTTTCATAACTTCTCTTCACACCCATGCAGTTATCTGGCATTCTAAAATGTCATAGAAATATCAGTAAAGGTCAGTTGTTAATATCAGTTGACACGAAACATGATTAATAATAATAATAAGAAGAAGAATCATGTTAGACAATAGATTAAAATTCTTTTACGCATTCAGTTAGGTATTAATTCAAGCTTTTCAAACGTGTTACTGCTTTTCGACTTCTATTACACTCCATATTTCTTTGTTTATTCAACTCTATTCCTTATTATACTCTTCTTTGTAATCCCATAGGCTTAGTGTTCTACCGCATTCATCTGCTACACTCACGAACTTTATGGTTTTTCTTTCAAATTCCTCTCTATATAACTCTAGTGTTTCTCATTTTTTCTTAGAAATATGAACGGTTGTATTCGTTTTTCTTTCTTTTTTTAATTCTGTTGTCTTGAGAAAAATGGGAGTAGATGACTAAAAACTGCCCATGGTACAATTTTCTTTGTCTTTTAATGTATCAACCTTTTGATCGGTATTATAATGCATGTTAACATTCACATCCCTCTCCATTCGGTAAACCGCTCCTACAACATGTATTTGATACCATGTATTTTTGTTTATATTATGCGTGATAAATTCGTATATATGCAAGCCATAAGCATTTGAATTAACGTGGTGAATAAGAAATATACCATGTTAATTATGTGACAACAATCGAGGTGATCATAATAATAATAATAATAGTAATAAGGATAAATTCACTCAAGTGTTTATATGTTCTTGGCAGTGATGAGCATGTAGGTAGAATGTGTATACTAGTGGAGGGGTAGAGGGGTAAATAAACTATTGTCACATAGCGATTAGATGAAATAATAGTGATAATAAATTGTGAAACCGAGATTAAAACCTACAACTACAGCACAGCATGATGTTGATAATATAGTTAGCATTAGAAATAAAATATACAGTAAAAGTAATAAGACAACAATCACAGCAACTGGTGTCACCGGGAGGGATAACTATTTTAGGTTTGGGACGGAGACCAAAGGAGGGAGAGAGATTGAACACACTTTTCCTGAACACAGCGATTGGGTTGAAAAATCATTTTGGCAACTGTCTCAACTATGCTTAGCAACCAAAGACGTACCTGCGTAGGGAGTTGAGGTGGCGCAGGTTAGTAGACTGACGATGAAACAATGATTTCCAAGGATGTACCTCCCTGTTTACTAACGTCCTTTTATTATAGACTATCGATTTCATCTGTGAATCTCTTGTAGAACATGATATGGACGCAGTTGTCTCCCTTCAAACATTATCGGAACTGCTACTCACTTGTACGATGAATGTTCACTTTTCGCTTAACAGCGAATTTTACCAACAATTGGAGGAATTAGCTATTTGGCTCCCCTCTGGGTCCTCTCTTAGCTAATGTATTTGTGCCAAATTAAGGAATCGTCCACTCGAAAAAGTAATCTACGAACTCTCATTCTGCTGTAGGCATATCGACGATAATTTTTTCTGGTATAATAATAAAAATCGATGCGGAAGCCTTTATCTGGTTCCGTTTTAAGAATGCTCTTATTTGATCAATTTCTCTTTAAGGCTTTAATATGAGTCTTGCTGGGGATACTTTTCTCAGTACATCTTCTTGATTGATATTAGTAACAGTTTTCAAAAAGAGAGGCTTTCAGTGCTAACTGCAACCGAGATGATGAAGCTAAGTCATTTGATTGAATAAAATGGTTTTCAAACTGTGACTTTGTTGATAATCTTATAGGACATTTTGCGACATCACATAACGTTTGACCTAATGACAACACCTCAAGTTCTAGCTGACAGAGAGAAACACTGGAAAAATTAAAAACATACGTTTTGAATGCTGAAGTCTTTCTCCAAGTGTTCAGTATGGCTCACTCACAAAATGGGTCCACATAGGAAAAGGAAAAAAAAACAATACTTTATCATTTTTCGATCTCCAGCTAACTAGCGAGAAATTTTCCGGAAGAAGTTATAAGTTGGCCAATACACCCACTTAAAGTTGTTTGTTCCTCTTGCATGCAAACCTTGATGTATCTTACGAGAAAAATCTGCACAACCGACACTCGAGTCGATGAAATAAGGAGAATAGAAAACTTATTCTAGCAGAACGAATACCCCGAAAAATGTGTTAAAGTCTCCGTGAGGAGAACAGACAGAAAGAAATGCCTGCAGAAGAAATGTATACACATGACTTTACCGTGTGAATGAGACTCAGCAACTTAGTGTTTTTTCTTTTTCTGACTCCTTATAACATTTGCAATTTTTAGAACTCTTACATAATTCCATATGTTCCTTTGTTTCTATGTACATCCTAATCACAACTTACTCCTAAAACTATTCATCTTATTGCGTAATTGTGTTGCGCTTATTTCACTTCTTTTGTGTTAATAAATATGTTTTTGACAACACATCACCACTACCCTCTTACTAATCTTTATCCCCGCCTAGTTACAGTTGGATTACTCATCACATTTTGGAAATGTGTTGACAACAATAACTCTAACTTATATTTATTCTTATCGGACAAAGCTAATGTAAACACACATACAGAAATTAGTATATATAATTATGATTGTAGAGCTAAGTGAGTGAATTCGACGAAGAAAGACTTTTCGCTGAACCATGTGTTTTGTTTTCATTAGTGTTTTGATGGGTATTATTCATGAATATGAAAGTCAGCTGAACACTTGATAGCTGTTTCGGTTGTTG